AATAATAGAGCATACAGGATCGGGCTAGCAGTGCTGCTGTGTATTAAGTTATAAGACATTGTAAATAAAGATAACAGGATTGATTAATTCATTAAAAGGTACTTTTGTGCTGTAATGTAACATCCTAATTAAGATATTGATATATTATTGTTACCGTGGCCACAAAACTTGATATGCCTGTATTTACATCTTTTTTTTACTAATCATTTGTGTTTTTGTGTTTCCCATGTGCCTTTGTGTGTGTCTGTGCTTGTGTGTGCATTTAGTGTCGGTATACATGTGTCTATTTGTTTTTTGCATCAGTCCCTGATCAACCTACCAGGGACTGCAGATGAAAATGTGGACATTTAAATGAATACATTTAAAAGTGTGTGGTTTATCATAACACTTCTAAAGTATAAATGTGCGTACGGGACAGTTCATGGAGAGGAAAACACAGCACTAAGGGGAGTGTGTTATTGATAATAGAGACGTCCACAGCCTCTGACAGAGTCTGATCTTCAAAGTCAAGTTGTTCTCCCTCAGAACTTTGCATGTGAGGGTTTTCGACTCTAACAAACTTTTCCTGAGCTCAGGGACTTTTGTTTTGTCTTCAGTTGACGCTACATTGCGACATAAGCCTGCAAATTCTTTTAAAAGCATTTTTTTTGTTCTGAAGGACAAAGTTGAAGTAATCTCAGTGAGGATTCAAACAGCTGCTGCAACGACGTTAAAGGGAAATATTAATACAGGCATGAGTGATGGCGCTGAGCAGCCAAAATGGAAGGTAAAACACTCCCAAGTGATTTCGTCTTTAGAAGCCTGAGAACACAGAACGCTGATGGGAGCATCTCTGCAGAACAGAACATCTTTAAATGATAGTTTTGAGGATAAGAATCTGACGTCCTCATTTTAACTGTTTGCATAAGAAACAGTTTATTATTTGCATACTAGGTGTAAGTGGAGCCTGAAATGGGCTTGGACCCAAGTTAGTGAGAAAAAACACACCATGCAACTGCATTTTATCAACATCTGGCACGAAACCCTCTGAATCTCTGATGAACCTGCCTGTGTTACAGTGTAGGAGCTGTGCAGTAAATTGTGTTTCTGACACCACATGTTGCATTACTGAGAAAAAAAGAACCCCTTTCATCTTCTTATTCATCCAAATCATTCTGCAAAGCCCCTATATCTGCCAGTGTGTCTTATCTGTTTCATTGTAAATCATTTCGACGCGGCCCTTCCTGTTTGGCTTGAGATTCAAACTTATGAGGCAGGAGGTAAGACACAGCAGGGGGAATTAATGTAACGGGTCAGGACCCAACGCTCCAATGAACTCAGTGCAGATATGCAAAGTAATAATTTACGGTCTTTATTTATCCAGTGCAACCTGACATAGGAGAAATGCTGGTTTCCATCACTACACCGGACCACGTTCACACAGCCTTTGGCCCTACACACTGACACCCTGGACTTAAACCAGTACAGTCTTTTACAGCTGCCTGACAAAAAGCCAGAGCAGTGCAATGAATTCGAATGCATCTCAAAAGTATTTCCAAATGGGTTGGAGGTAGAAACCACCTTCACCACAATCCAACCACTTTCACTAAGTTCCACAAAACCAACACCTTGCTGATAAAAAGTCTATAACATTAATAATACGAATAAAACAATCTGTAATACAGCAGCAGTAAATAAAGGCTTGGGTATTCTAACATCACCATTTTAACAGAGATATAAAAGTATTTCTTTTATAATTTATAGCCTTTTTTATATTCGCTTGAGGCCTGTGGAGCTGATATGGTGCAACTGTGGTTCATAACAAAGAAACAGCTTGTAGTACCTGCAAGAGAAGGCAAAGAGGCACATGTCTTCTCACAAGACGTGAACAAATAGGCACCGTACACAGATCACACACCCATTAGATATTGGCTAGGGATGTCAAGGAAAAAAGTAGGTCAAGTTATGTGTCTTGTGTGAAATGGGATTCATGCATTCAACAACCATTCTTCTTGGGGGCCTACACATTAACACAGCAGCACACGGGCTGTGTTTCACCATAGAAACCTGCTGAGAAAAAGAGGAGGATCTCATCAGGTGTTAAACAAACATGAACTCCAGAGTGTGTCCGCAAAACTGGGTGCTGGTTTGAATTTCACATATGGAGAACGCAGCAGGGGATCCTCTGATGCGCTCACAACACAGAAATCCCCCGAACGTTCAGGTGAGAGGTGGAGCTACATGTAGGAGGCAGGATGTAGCGTATTAATTCCGCTGCAATCATCATGTGCATCTGTCCTTATCACCAAAAGTGCTTAAATCTCATCTTTTCATTTTGGCATCCTCGCTGGCATCGTAGATAGATATTTGCATTGTTTTTATTTTCAATTCTGCGTCTGCTGCGAGTTAGAAACATCATCAACACGCGCTTGCAATGAATCCTCCTAGTAAAGCATCTCCTGCTGTATTCCCAGCCAGACCTACTCGGATGTTCTCTGGAGTTTTTACCATGGGATGGCAGGAGACTCTCCAGGGAATGTCTGAAGCAGACTTTTGTGTTCTCATATACAGCTCCTCCAGATTGTTTCATGGAATGATTTGGAGTTGCAGGTCCGAAAGCAGCTCTCGCAAGGAAGCGTATTTAGAAATGTATATTTCTATTATTGGATGACATTAAATTGAGAAAAAAACAGGAAGAAAAAAGCAAGGAAAGATGAAAGGATTAAAAAATGCAAGGCTCTTGATTTTTGTTTGCATTAGTAATTCTTTACCTTTATCATAATCACTACCAGATGCTGGAGTGACCTTTCAATTACCCCTTCATTTAAAGAGAGATGTAAGCCAAAATGAAATTAATTTTTAACAGCAAACTGGGCCGCTATTCAAAGGCACATACATCTCTGGTGCCAAAGAAAAGAAATAAATAAGGGAAGTAAAAGCGAAGAGAAAGGAAATGTAAGTTTGCATAACTCCACTGGGTCAAAAAAGGACAAGAAGAGAAAGAGCCTGAATAAGAATTATTTTACAAGCCAGCCCGCCATTTTTTTGTGTGTGTTTTGTGTATGCACTGTAGGTGTATAGCTGTGGAGCCTCCCAGGAGGGAGTCTGTATAATGCTGGAGGCCAGAGGTGAGACTTTCATAGCTCTGCAAAATACATATTCAACACGTACAGGGCCCTGGCTGCACTGTTGCAAGAGCTTAATTAAAAAGTAACAGTTCCAATACATTGGAGTCTGGCTGACCCACATCCCCTGCTGGCTCGGTATGTTTGTTAATGCTAGTGTGTGTGTGTG